CCAAAAGCAGCAATCCTGGGAGTACTGGCGTCGTGCGTGGCAAGCCAGATCTCCACTGGGCTTCCATGTTTTCCCCGCTTACGACAGGGGACATGGGAATGGATGGAGGAATCAGCGCGAAACGGAGGTAGACAGTGCTGGCGGCTTTTTGCAATCATCAACCTCCTCTCCTGTCTACCTCGAGGTCACCCCTCCTGCGTTTCGCTGCCTGGAGCCGGTCTTTTCTTGGATTTTAGAGAGTGGGTTTGTTCGCTACGCTGATGGGATTGGCTCTCCCATGTGTAGTGGTCTCACCGTTTCACCGAATTTAGTTCGTGCAAAGAGCGCGTCCTCTGGACTCCAAGCTCGCAGAAGAAGAACATATATATATATATATACATATATATATATCCATATATATATATGTATGTATAACATGTATAATATTGTATATATATATATATGTATGTATGTATGTATGTATGTATGTCATATACACTTGTTTCACACCTTCTTGTCCTGCGTACCTGATCAAGGGGACACATACGTCTACAGCCTCGAAACTCCTAATGCAGACGAGCAAAATTGCGAGGTGAATCTATCTGCATGCGGTTGCATGCAGGCTCAGGGAAACTTAAACTGCAACACCCCAGTCTCGTCTCCAGTGCTAGGCCTCATGTTGTACCAGACGGGGCAAGAACTCAGACTATTACAGATTTTGACCCTGTCTGTATTCTGCTGGGTTCGAGTCTGCCTTGCGCGTCACAGGTCAAGACTCTACAACAGGCTGTATGCCTAAACCCCAAACGCTCGTACGCATGCATAACATCTAGTTGGAGGTTCTGGGCCGGACCTGCGCGGTGCCCTGCAGATTTGGCGGCATACCGCCAGCATCGAAAGACCTCGCGGCTATGAACAAATGTCGTAGCAGCCACTGTAGTGCTCTCGTTAGCATGGCTACACGCCACCAGTGCTCTTGTTATGCTTCTGCCTTCACCTTTGTGGTCAGAATTATTCTAGGAGTATCGGTGTCGTGACCTGATCTTCCCTTTGCGGTTTCTGGAAGAACTTGCGGCAGCATCGCTGTTTTCGTTTTACTTTTGGAGCTACTGCTGCTGTTGGCGTCGGTCGTGCAGGCAATCTAATGTTCCGATTACAACATCATGACGATCAAGGCGGTCCCGATTATGATGACCTCAAAGAACCTCGTTCCTGGCTACTACAGCAGCTAAGCTATCCACATACCGCACTTGCGGAGCTCAGTGTCGAAGAATGTGATATCTCTAGTCGGACCTATCAGAAGCTGCGGAAACGGCGAACAGTCGTCACTACTGCATCTAGATTTGTGTGGTAACTATCACTGTCAAAATACTCGAAAGTTTTGCGAGTATCAGTATGGTTGAATAATGGACCCAATCTAATTCCCCATTACAACTCCTATTGTCATCCACAGTAGTCACACCATCGAGGCCACTAGAACCGGAGCAGCGTCGCGAGAAGTCGTCTGGGCTCGACCTCTGGCTCCGTAATTACGCCTTCATGTTTGGGCAGGTGAACATTCAGATGCCGGTTTTCGCAACTGCCCTGTATGACGTCATATTGAGATATCTACGGATATACAATATCTCCGCCGAATCTAAGGAAGAAATCGGCCGGCAAGTCTCACAAGGGGCACCTGGTGAAGCCTCCTCCGTGTCGAGCGCAGCAGGAAAGCTTTCACGAAAGCCGCCGTGCGCTCCTGCGTCCAGGTTTGACAAGCTTTCGGCTTTTTCTGGGATCGGTTGTGGATCCTATCGCAAGAGACACCAAGGCATCTTCCGAGAGGAACAATACTACAAGCGGACTTGGGTTACTTGACATTGTGAACTCTATCGGTCAGACTTGCACCCCAAATCCTCCCTAAACGCTAAGCCATAAGCTCTGAACCCTAAGCTCTCCCTAAACCCCCAGCTCTCCCTGTAAAATTCCTGGCTCGCTCTCTGCTGTGCCATCTCTTGTCGTCGGCTCAGCTCCTGATGCAAAGCAGACTCGACGAGGTCGTGAATCATGCGGATATGGGGCTTAGGGTTTCGGGTTTAGGGGCTTTGGGTTTAGGGTTTAGGGTTTCGAGTTTAGGAGATATAGGGGCCTGCATAATTAGATGGTTTTGGAGCATTCTACACTAAGTAGTAGTATGATATGGGCCCCTGAGGCAAGGTATCGGTACTTATTCAGGCTTCTAGATTGTCCAGGGTCGACGGCTTCAAGCTGGCTGGGGGTTAGGGCTCGAGAGTTCAGGGTCTCGTTCGGTACGAATAGGATCACACCTGAATATGCGATGAGCCATTCTCAAGACTTAGTCTCCGGCCATACTAAGCCTCAAGCTCAGTGACGGTGCAGATCGAACTTGCCCTTGCTTTGCTAGAGCCGTGCAGTGCAGAATAAACTGAGTTGTGAGGTGGTAACATACAGCACTACAATAACACAGAACCACATGCACTTATACTGCAGGCCGCAAGCACCTGTCCCTGCGGTGCTCCTT